ATTTGTTATGCGCATATAAATTATTACGAGCTTTAAAGACCACAGGCACCTCTTTCGCTAAAAATGAACCATTTCAAGTTGGATACCTCCCGGACCATTAATACACGCATATTGGCGTGCTTCAGCAATTAGATAGTTTGAGACCTAAGATAAATATTTTGTTAGTTCAAATATTTTTTAAATATTGCTTTATGAGATACTAACTGGTAACTTTTTTTTAATTGCATCATAGGGAATTTTGTCTGCAATAATTGACAATATTCTCCTCTTTCCATCTATTCCACGAATATTAACGTCTAAGGCATCCTGAAATGTATTCCAAAATTGTTCCGCGACATTTTTATGATTTTCTGGAGTAGTACTAAGATATCTGCTTTCATACAACTGCTTTAATGTCGCTTGGTCATTTGTCGGGTCTTTTGATCGAGTCCAAAATTCAAACTACAACTGTGAAGTTAGAATTATATATGTTATGCGTCAGATTAATATTTGTGTCATTTTAAAAAATTATCCTAGTCGTTTAAATTTTGCTCTAACATAATTTTTTTTTTTTTTTTCAGGGGAACGAAGGACAGCTTATGAAATCTGACACAAATTTTAATCTGACGCGCAGTAATATTTGTTTATCATTTATTTATTTAAAAGATTTACCTTAGATTCTTTTCCAAAAAGTGTTATGTTGGTGCAGCCTGTATATTGTAATAAGGCTCTCCAAGTGCGCAATTCGTGGTCTTTAATAATATAGTTTGGTGGGTATATTTCTTGTAATTTTGTTGTTAATTCAATAAGATTACTTTCTTGATTTTGCCAGCTAATAAAAAAATTTTTCCAAATTATTGACATATTGATATGTTTTCTTAGATGATAATTAAAAAGCGTATTCATTATTTGTTCATTTTGCCAATCGTCTACGGTACACGAAAGGGTTAGTTCTTTGTTGATTTCTGACTTCGTTCGTTCATGTTCAAGTCCAAATAGCGTGTTTCCTGTAAATTGTGCTAATATACCAATTTTATTCCAAACAGAATTAGGGTTAGTATCACGAAAAATCTGAATTTCTTGAAAATTTTGATAAATTTTAACAATCGCTTCTTTATTATTAAATTCTTGAAAAAATATTGTTCGAGTTTTGCGAAAGTTATGCACAAAAGAGCTTCGATATCCTTTTCCAGCATAATTCCAATCAGGGTTGTTTGATTTACCAATTCCGAAAATAGTCAAGTTCAAGTTTCCAATTTTAAAAGCATAAGGATGAAAATAAATATCGGAAAGTAACATTTTACATATCTCTGAATCATCATAACCCATAACTAAGAGACCATCTAATCTAGTTTTTGTAGAAAAAGCTTGTTGATATATAGAAGTAACTGCTTCTGATGAACTTTGACATATATTACTTCGCAAGGCTTCTGATTGACATATATACCCGGGTTCAAAATTATTCTGAACAACTGTAATTATGAAGTCACGCTGATTTACTGTAGTTATAGTTTTCATCCCGAGATGAACTAGATAGAGAAGTGTATATGCTAAGTTATTATGAGTTGGACGCGAAATCTACCAATCTTTAGCATATGGCCCAAAATTTAAATTTTGTACAAGTTCGCCCCGTAATATAAGCGTAACTTTGTATTTTGACATGTTAGTACATTTACTAATGTAAGGTTGGTTGAATTTATATACTAAAGAGTGTGCTGTATGAATTACTTTATTTTAGCATATGTTTTTTTTTTTTTATAAATTACAAATTGTTGCGCTCAGTAAATTTTATTTATAATCACTAACTGCTTGCTGAATTTAGAGCGAAAGTTATTTTATTTTGATCAATATTTATAAGAGAATAAAGTTCTTTTAGTGGTTACAGATATAGTATACTGTACAGTACGCTATATACCTGAATAATGTTTATCAAAACTTTGACTCAAATAAACTGAAACAGGAATTTTAATAAAGGGATGCCATTGATGTATCTCAAAACTCCTGAACTTATCGCGCTTTTCAAATCAAACAATTGATTCTGTGAATTCTACTGTATGAGCCCCATGCATTGCTATTATAAAACAATAGCAACATTTGTAATTTACAGATTTGATTGTCTTATTAATTTGAAAAGTGCGATGAATAAGATTGAAATGGTTCATTTTTAGCGAAAGAGGTGCCTGTGGTCTTTAAAGCTCGTAATAATTTATATGCGCATAACAAAT